AAAATCCTAGCGACTGTGGAAAGAATCCTTCCCGTATCATATACCATTAAATGAAATTTCCCTCAGCTAATTCTTAAAAACATTTGAATGCGAGACAGGCACTCAGAATATCAATTAAACAAGCAATAAATCAGTAAACAAAAGCGCCCCTAAGCCCTAAGGGAGTAACGAAGGCTGGAAGGTAATCTCTAAACTCGCGCCCTCCCCTTTCGTTGACATACACTAGTTAAAAGATTTCTTTTTATCGCTACCTTTTGTTTTTATTTTTTCTTCTTCTTTTTTGGAAAATGCCGAGTACAGAGGAATCCTGATTTCTACAACCTCCGCGGCAGAACTCGAACCAAAAGTCGTCTCCGTTAGGTTTATTTCATTTTAGTTATACCTCCGATATCTTGAACCCCCGATTCGCTGAATCAGTTTTTGTTCGTTTTCGTTCCGAAAATTGAGAAATTGGGATTCCACTAATATAGCTAATAGCCAATTCTATCACATCTATTTAAGATGATAGTTTTTCGATTGTGCAGAGAATTCACCCCGCGCTGTCTTGCGTGTCAGCCGGTGCAATATTTGATGTAATCCATCAAATATTTTTCTTGCGATAAACTGATTTAAACAAGTCAAGTGACTTATCAATCCCATTCGTCTATCCATCAAATATTTTTTTTGCGCGCAATTGGCCGACCCGTCTCGTGATGGAACAAAACTGGGAAATATTAGATGACATACCCCAAATGATATTCCTCAGGCTTCAGAATTAGCGTTTTATTTCAGTACGTTCCCTTTTCACTACAACTTTAACTTTACTCCAATTTGACGTTTTCAAAAAAGAAGGAAAAGAAACTTGGATTTAAAAAAAACAAAAGAACCTTTTATGTGGTACTTGGTTATCAAAAGATGATCTATTACACGCCTGAACTGCTAAGAAAAAATCCCACGATCACAGGCTGGAAAGGCAATATAATCTTCATGTGCATAATTCTGATTAAAATCCGTCTTAGAGTTCAAAAGAGAAGGAAAAGAAAGTTGGATTAACACAAAAACAAAAGAAACAAACGGACCTTTATGTGCAAGATATCTCCTGGTGAAAAGTAAGCCATAAAAAGTACAACACCATTTGGCAAAGTGCCTGGTCCAATACTTGAAAAATATGGACCGGCAATAGAACAATCGGATTGGTCGGAATCAGAGGAATATTAGATGATATATCCCAAATGATACTCCCCAGGATTCAAAATTAGCGTCTACCTTACTACGTTCACTTTTTGTTACAGGTAACCTGGTAAAATGAATCGAACTACATGTTTTGAACAGACTAGTAATACGCTGACAGAATTACATGTTTTCCTTGTAGTTCATAGATAGGGTATTCCCATATAAATTTTGCAGGAATTTATTATATAATCGTATCTATAACAAAAATCTCGATCATGATTGGTTCTCCGCGCGCCTATTTGTCATGTAATCGGCGCGCGATCACGTGGGTGTCCAATTTGAACTTTTCGTAATTGGATACCCATGTGATTCGCACGTCAATTACGCGCGCTTTAATGGCTTCCTTCGCACTGTTTCCTACAGTTTTCAAAACTTATGAAAAGCGTTACAGACGTTTTCGCTCAAAAGAAGTTCTCAAAAGACATTTGTAATTCCGAAATTTTTTACAGATACGATTAATTAGTAATTGGACCTCGTGTCGTACAATTCAGGGAGTAATCAAACCTATAACAAAATTCTCGAACGTGATTGGCTATCAGCAGCCCGATTTGAGCATTAATTGGACAGTGTACGCGTCATGCTTGTAGTTGGATAGTACGCGTCATTTTGCGCGCGCTGTTGCGGTGCACTTTGTTGAGTAAACTGCTGTGTTTTTCAGCATTCATAACGACGTTTAATCGTTCAGCGCTCAACCGATGGTTTCTTTGTTTCTCGAATTTTGTCATAGTTTTGATTAATTGGTAACAGGACTTCGTGTCGTCCAATTCAGTCTGTAATCATACTCGTGATTAACAAATCGGACTCCCGCTTCGCGGTCGTCCGATTTTGTTAATCACTCGTATGATTACAGACCGAATTGGACTCCACTCAGTCCTGTCACCATTATTAATCGTGCTCGTAATTTCAAATCGCCCTCGCGCTTCGCGCTTGTCCGATTTTGAAATTACTGGCGCGATTACCCCCTGAATTGTACTCCACTGGGTCCAATTACTATTACTTATCGTGGATATATCTACCACCAATATGGGAAATAATCTTTAGTATACGGCAAACCAACAAGGGCCGACGCCAGGGCCAGGGCGTGAAAACCCGCTGCTTAAAAAGATTTTGTTCAATATACTTAGCTGTTTATAGACACATTTAGATCGTACATGTACTCTATTAACTATGACTACATGAATACGACTTTCATATTGCAGTATAGTTACGTTCCCAGTGCCCTCGCTCCTCCCCGTTACTGGCCAGTTGAATATGACACTATCCGCGAGACACTGGCGTGAAACGTGATAATGGAAAGCATAAAAAGTCGCCGTTCGTACACAATCTCTTACTCCTACTATGATCTAAAGGTCCCTAATTTCCTAAAC